CACTTGTCCTTTCTCTCGATCTGTTTAGGAAGCCTTTATAAATCAAATCCATGCTCACGGTCGCTATAAAGGCAAGAAGATCAACTGGGATTGCTCTGAGGTAGTTGACCCCTCTGCTCGATTTGAGCGAGATTGTGTGGCACGATTCAGGGTTATTTTTCATTGTGCAGTTGGGTTATTGGGTCGAAAGTGTTGCCAGAGAATGTGCGGAGAAAATAACAATTCATGCTTGGCTTCATTACAGGGCAGTACTGGCGGGCAGGTAGGAATTACATACGGATTCTCTGTAGCTGATCTGCTGAGACCCTAATCCTTCTCCCAATTCCATACTCCAAGACACAAAATTCTCCATGCGTTGTCACACCAGTTTCCACCACAACGCACTCTGATATCTCCCCCTCCAAATCGCACCATATTACCTCGTCAACATGAGCAAAATTATCACTTTCATCTAGCTCCCGCTGCATTTTCCGGGCTGCAGAGAACTCGGCTGCAGTCATCGTCATTTGCATTCTGTGACAATCACCGCGTAAGTATTCATCAGTCAAGATCGGAAATGACTCACGCGATTTGATGACCTCTGTGGTGGATATCATGAGCGTGTCGGTGCGTGTGCAGATCCAGGCTCATCAGGCATTGTATACCAGCGTGAGCAGCAAATATTACGGCGAAATTACTGAGCGATGCATTGAGAAGAGGTGGTGGGAGGCATAGCACAAACAGACGTACTCTTTTACCGTCCGAGTCTCCGGAGTTTGATCAGGATAGCATATTAAATAACACCTCCTATGGAACTCTCTTCTCCCATCCCGGTCGGTGATGTTTGGCAGGAGACATGGGAATTGGTCAGGTTTAGTTGTGAAGTCGTATTCCATTTCGTCTCGAATCGGCGACAGTTCGTTGTCTGACATGTTCAAAGACTCAATAGCTTTTGTAGATTGAAATATTGCAACATAGTAGTCGGTAATCACATTGATCAGTTTCTGGCTGAACTCGTCAGGTACCCATTTTTGAGAGGTCGACTGGCGTGGCATTGTGGTTGGTGTCCACAAGACACCTATAGCTACGGAAAGGACCCGGATGTCACTCACGTGGCAGGTGTATGGTCACCACTAATAACAGTAGTGCTAATCTTCTCTTGAATCTCTCTGCGTTGACATTTTCGCTTACTACCTCGGCGGGCTGGTCAACACAAATGTCGGCAAAAACGCCTCACAACACGGGATTTCGGTCCAAAATTTCGTAAAGCAGGGTTTCGGTGTGGCTATGCAATTTTTTGAGAAGGCTATCCCCTCTTGCCTTTCCTCAACGTGAATTGCGGCTTCATCCTGTCGTTCATGCCAACGGTACCCCTCTGCGATCAAATCCTTAGCAATGGAGTTTGCCACTTGGATGGATGCACAGCTCGTCATGCCGTTCACAGCTGTACGATATGTCGAATGGACTTCCCTAGCAAGGAGAAGCTAGTTTGGCATGAATCAGCCAAAATACATCAAAGGCGGACAGATCAGCATCGGAAAAGGCTTTCTGGTGCCTCCAAGCCTGTCCGATGTACCCTTTGTGCTGTAGACCTAATGGCGGCATCAGGCTACGGTCAACATGCCCGAGGCAAAAGCCACAGACGCAGGTTGGAGGAACAAGGTCTTAATCCTGGGGAGGATCCAGGCCCTGAAGAACTGGATGGAGTGCCTGGCACACAGCACTGCGAGATATGTAACGCAAGTATCCCGTTGCATATGTGGGAGAGGCACATCGACGGTCGACGTCATCTTCGAAGCAAAGGATTCGTCATGCTTCAGAGCGGACTGGAGGAATCGGAACGGGATAAGAATGGGGTAGCTGTCTCAAACGGCGACGGTGGTTTGAATTTTGGATTACTCGAGTGCACTGATAGGCATGGTGTCGCGTACAATTTCGACCGCACCATGTCGGTCCAGAACAACAACACTACGGCGATCATCCTTGCTGATGCCCGTGTAACTTCTCGTGCCAATGGTTTAGCACGCGTCGCTGACACTCAGTATGCTCGTTGTCTTTCACATTCCGTTCAATCACTCACTCTCTGTGCCATATCAGCTTCGACCTTCGTCAATCTGTGAAAGGACTTCACCTAACTCCGGGTGCTAAGACTAACGTGGAAGTCGCCTTTCGTCCACGGGATGAACGCGGTCGCTTCCATGACCGCGTTGAACTGTACTTTGAGGACGTAGTTCTCAAACAGCGATTCGCAATCACACGACCCGTAACAGCCACAGTTGGCGTCAAAGCTGACTATGAGGCTCTACGACCTATTGCGCCTTACGTTCGCCCAAAGCGCAGAAACGAAGAGCCAGTATCAGATCCCGTGCCAGGAATACCCCCACCAGCACTCGCAGCCATCGCCTGGGAGGTTTCCTTGCCTAAATTTCCCATCCCGGCGGGGTTGAAGCAAATTGGGTTCAGCCAGGGAACGTACGGGGATCTCGCAAATAAAGTGCGCAGTACCTACTTACCGAAGGCTTTCGACGGTGACACGTATGGTCGTCATATGAAAATGATGATCTGGATTGAGGAAGAGCAAGCGCGGTGAGTGACTTCCTTGAACCTGGTTTGAAAATTTTCATTAAATTTTTCAAATTTTCAAAAGGCGTGATCTTCAGCTGTATAATCTTTCTGGCACAACGCTCGAACGCAAGGGCGTCTATTACAAGTGCGATACCAGAAACCATTTGCATAATATCCTGACATTCTATTCAGCCTTGTTGTCGAAGGCTTGGCGGAAAAGCGTCCCAGCATCATAGTCGGCGACAAAATGTACGTGAGGAATCATGGCTCCTCGAGCGATCGCTGGTTCGAGGGCCACGTCCACCGGGTCTTGGAGAAGTCTGTCGACCTCCGCTTCCATGGCTCCTTCAACAGTTACAGCGGCCAGAGGTATGACGTACGCTTCGAACTCAATCGCCTCACGATGCGACGTATGCACCAAGCTCTGAGCTCCGCATTCAAACGTCCTGAAGTCCTGTTCCCCGCTCAACAGCATGTGGTGGAGCTTCGCGTTCCTTCGCTAGGGCGTATGGACGAACTTCGGTGTGTAGATCGTAAGGTGGGAAATAATAGGCCGCAACTTGCTGCTGTTGCTGCTATTGTACATCGTCCTCCTGGAAGCGTTCCATTCGTCGTCTTTGGCCCGTAAGTTCCTACGTTGTGGAAAGGCGACATAATTGCTCACATCGATGCTGTGTTTATTTAGCCCTGGCACAGGGAAAACTGTAACAATGGTCGAAGCCATCCGTCAAGTCCTATACTCCAACCCAAACGCACGCATCCTAGCCTGCGCACCGAGCAACTCTGCGTCGGACATCATCGCCGAGCGTCTCGCTGACCTCGGGAAGAGCCAAATTTTCCGTCTCATCGCACCCTCCCGCAGCGCAACCGCTGTCTCACAAACGGTCAAAAATATCGCCATGCTCAACAACGACGGAGTCTTCTCTGCCCCTCCTGTTGCGCAGCTCCAAAAATACCGTGTTGTTGTCAGCACTTGCTTCTCAGCATCGGTGCCTCATGGGATTGGCGTTCCGCGAGGACACTTTACGCACATTTTTATTGACGAGGCGGGTTAGGCGCAGGAACCTGAGGTGATGATACCGATCAAGACGATGGCGGACAATAACACGAATGTGATATTATCTGGTGATTGTAAACAGCTTGGACCGATCGTCCGTTCAGGCGTGGCGAAGGAATTGGGTTTGACGAAGAGCTATCTTGACAGGCTGATGGAGAATCCGGTTTATGACCAAGAAGCAGGTTACGCTAAAACGTGAGTGCACATGAGAGCTTGGATATTATTGTAAAATCTGATTGTGTGTTGTCTCGAAGGATCGTCAAATTGACGAAGAACTGGCGCTCGCATCCTTCCATTCTCAAATTCCCGAATGAGGCGTTCTACAAAGGCGAACTAGAGGCGTGCGGGGACCCGCTCGTTACTCACAGTTTGTTACGCTGGGACGAGCTCCCGACCCCAAACTTCCCAATCATATTCCATGGTATATCTGGCAAGGACCTTCGAGAGGTATCGTCACCTTCATTCTTTAACATCGACGAAGCCTCCCTGGTCAAGAACTACGTACAGAGACTATTTGATGATAGAAGGCTACGGCTCAGTGAGTTTTTCAAGCATTTTGTTTGGGCATGTCACTCACGTCGATTGTAGCACCGCAAAATATTGGTATTATATCCCCGTATAATGCGCAGGTTGGGAAAATACGAAATATCCTTCCGGGTAAAGCAAAGGAGATCAAAGTCGGAAGTGTGGAGGAGTTCCAAGGCCAAGTAAGCTCGCCTGCCATGACTATACGGAGGATACTTTACGAACGACGATCTCCTACAGGAACGTCGCGTCATTATAATATCCACGGTTCGTAGCAGTGTTGACTTCATCAACTACGATCTGCGGCATACTCTTGGATTCGTAGCCAATCCACGACGTTTCAATGGTAGGTCGCAAACCGTTCATTCTTTCCAGTGAATTCTGAAAGCTTTTTGCAGTGGCGATCACGCGAGCTCAAGCTCTGCTCATAGTCATCGGTGACCCAGTTGTCCTTTCCCTCGATCAATTATGGAAGTCTTTCATAAACCATGTCCACATTCATGGTGGCTACAAAGGCAAGAAGATTGATTGGGATCCTTCAGAGGTGGTCGACCGCTCAGCTCGCTTTGACCACGAACGCCGAACGAAAGGGTTGAGCGAGATGGAAGACCTGATTGAGAGGACGAAGTCGCTTGTGATAGGTCAATCTGAGGACTTGGCGGAAAGAAATGATGACGACGAGATAGAGGGGAATGTAGACAAACCATGGAGGGAGGATGAATAGCTCTCAGGGTTTGTCACTGCAGTATGATAATAGTCATAATTACATCAATCCGTCATTCACCAACTCGCCAGGACAAGAAGTACGGCTGCGAGGCAATGGCTGGCTCATTCTTCGCGCAACATAACATAAGGATGACCGAGAGATCGTGTCGGTTCCATGGTCTAGTGGTTATGATTTCTGTCTAACACACAGAAGGTTCCCAGTTCGATCCTGGGTGGAGCCATTCCATTGCCTTTTGCAATTCTTTTTGGCCGTGCGACTTCACCTCGTTTTTTTTGCATGAATTCTTGCAATCTAGAACGTCTATGGCCCTTCTCACTCGTAATGCCATAGTTCGTCACTTAAATTTTTACCGCATCCATCTCCTTCTGTTCATCGTAGTCCCCATCTTCGCTTCTCTCATCTTTTACTGGCTCAACGATGCACGATCTCACAATGGACCTTTCGTATCCTACATAGACTCACTATTTCTCTGCGTCAGCGCTGCGACTGTTGCTGGTCTATACACCGTCGACCTCAGCAACCTGGAGGTCGGCCAGCAAATTGTCTTAGCGTTTCTTACGGCTATTGGATCGTATTCGTTTGTGTCGACGACGATGGTGGTCATCAGACGACACTACTTCTCGAAGGAGATGCAACATAAACTCGAGTTGGTGATGAAGCTTCAGGACGTCGTCCGAGCAGATGCCGACGTGAAGTCGGCGAAGGAGCAGTCGTCTGGCTCACAATCCACTCCGAACTCCTCGTCTCAATCCGCCAATGGGAACCATAACGCTCAACCACCTCCAGCTCAGACACAACTCTCACCGATGGGCGATAGGGAAGCCACCTTGACAATGACGGATGATCTGAACCACATCGCATTCGCTTCTGCCATGGACGGACGTACACACACCCACGACGGAAATGTGAACATGTTGGATACGCATAACATTCGTAGACGGACTGGGGTTAGCATGCAGAGAGTAGAAACGGCTGGGAGCCAGACCCCAGCGCAGGGGGTGAGATTGAGGAGGTCAGACACACAGGCTACTTTGATGGATCGAGGTGAGCACTTTCCTTTGCCGAAGATTTTGGTTGGACAGAGTGTAACCTTGTCAAAAAGGTTACGGAGGCTTCCCATCGCCAACCAAGATCCTGCGCCAAATCACCGCACGTATCCTAGGCCGGCGAGGCGTTCCCCTAACCCGGCACCTAACAAACAAATTCACTATCCCCCGCACACAAACCCTCCAATCAATCCACAACGTCAACATCATCGACCCCAACTCCTCACCAAACCCCTACATCAAAATCGTCCCATACCTCACCTTCGACGCTACCGTCGGCAAGAACAGCACGTTCCAGGATCTGTCTGAGGAGCAAAAGGACGAACTTGGAGGCGTGGAGTTTTGTGCGCTGAAGATGCTCGCGTGGGTCGTGCCGTGTTATTGGTTGGGTGTGCAACTGCTGTGTTTTGTTGCTCTTGCACCGTATATGGCCAGAGGGGAGTTTAGGGATACGTTAAGGACGACGTTTGGGCAGGCGGGACCCGTTAATTCGACTTGGTAGGTCGCGCTCGATTTCATGAGAATGAAGTATAGGCGACTGATTTTTCCTGTTTGTCGGATGCAGGTTTGCTTTATTTCAGGTTCTCTCGAGCTACGCTAACAACGGCATGTGAGCACCTTCTTCCACTCCATCTCCTGAAACTTGCTTACCTTCGCCCTCACGCAGGAGGTGTGTTTAAAATTGCTGGAGGCAAATGAGCCCTAATGCCGTGTACTAGTCTGGTTGACGCATCAGTCGTCCCATTCCAAAGAGCCTATTTCTTGCTGTTCGTCATGATGTTCTTGATCCTGGCTGGGAACACCGCATTCCCCTGTTTCCTACGTCTCTTCTTGTACGTACATATCTCTTCTGCTCTACTTCGACTCTGGATCATAATATGTATGACTCTACAGGTGGATCGGATCGAAATGCGTACCAAAGAAATCCCAAGCGTACGCAACGCTCAGATTCATCCTCGACCATCCACGGCGCTGTTTCCTCTGTATGTTTTCAAAATAAATCATTAAATTACACAATTGAAAACGGACCTTTCCGCAGACCTGTTCCCTAGTACACAAACATGGTACCTCGTAGCCGTCCTCATCAGCTTGAACGGGATCGACTGGATACTATTCCTGCTTCTGGACATAGGGAATCCACCTATACAGGTGCGTATTGTCCCTCTCATTAAATAGCGAGAGAGATGCGACGACTAAAATGGATGTGTAGAGCATACCCCCAGGCGTCCGCGTCGTAGCTGGGTTGTTCCAGGCAGTCGCTGTAAGATGTGGAGGGTTCCAAGTCGTCTCGCTAGGTTCGCTAGCTCCTGCCGTTCAAGTTCTCTATGTAGTCATGATGTACGTTCTCCCCCTCCTATTCTCAATCTCCAGCACTCTCGCCTCATATGCTAACTGAACTGTGTGCTTTTAGGTATGTCGGTGCCTTACCAATCGCACTAGGTGTGCGCTCAACGAACGTTTACGAAGATCGGTCGATCGCGCTTTTTGAGCAAGAGGTTGACGTGAGCGATGAAGAGCCGACGATCCAGATTGGTCATGGGTTAACGAAGACGCAGGTTTGGGGCGAGTATATGGTGCGCGCTTTATTATGCCATTCAGAAACCTCGGTCATCTGACGCAGAAAGGGATATCAGGCTTGGCATTTGAAGAGACAATTGAGCTTTGATCTTTGGGTATGTCTGGTTCCATTCTGATCGAATGGTATTGTATAGCTAACGTACAGTTCTTGTTGTAGTGGCTCGCATTGGCACTTCGTAAGCTGGATGATAAGTCATTTGAATTCGTGAAATTTGATGCGGTTTCGCGATAGTGTTGATCTGCATCTTCGAGCGGGGAAAGATCCTTTCCCCTGTTGAGGGTACTTACATCACTGTTTGGACTATCCTTTTCGAAATCGTTTCAGGATACGTACGTCCCCTCCCTTTCACCACATCCCACTCGCATCTGGCACCACGAAAAGAAAAGCTCACTAAACAAATCAACAGGGAACAGTCGGCCTAAGTCTCGGCGTCCCCAATCAGAACTTTTCAATGTCAGGTTCCCTTGGGAGCGCAAGCAAACTCGTCCTATGCGCCGTCATGCTCCGTGGGCGACATAGAGGGTTGCCAGCTGCGATCGACCGCTCCGTCCTTCTCCCTGGGGAGCTTGGGAGACAGAATGAGATGGAGGCGGAGTTTCAGCAGAGGAGGGATGTTGTGCGGAGTGCGTTGAGGAATGCGCAAGCGGAGGTGAGGGAGATGAGGATGGGTGATGGCATGGAGGCCGAGGATATTCCACCTGGGTTGCCGTGAGTTGGGACGGGATGTTGGGTTGCGTAGAATTTGTAGACATTATTTTATGGACCATGACTAAAATTCCAGGGTAATTGCAACTCATTATTATGAATGCCACACGAGTTTGTGCTGCGTCCTCATGATGTTGTATATTTCCTCAGCCAGAATAGTGAAGATAGTTCGCCATCAGTTCTATTATGTCTATATTTCACACAGACTCTGGGTAATTTGAATTTAAATTATACGGCCGGGAGAGCCAAGAGTTCAAGTCGGTCCTGAAATCCACTGGCCATCGCTTTTAGGTGCGTCGAATGAATTCAAACTCAGCGGCGGTGTCGCGCCATCATATATGTGGTGTGTGTTTTGAATGTATTTCTCTTTTGGGGTCTGAATAACATCGATGTTGCCACTCAATGGTTTAAAGTTGCTGTCATGCAATTCCTATCTTGGCCAAAAATTTTATTCACTAATGAATCCTTCAACTGCAACTTGTACCCCACACAACTGCACACATTTATATGGGTCAAATAATTCTATTACCGAAGTTAGTGTTCCATTGCGGTCCGCCTTCACCACCAAACGTACCTCGTTTGTCGGTCCCAATTAGGAGGAACCGCTGCAGGCGGGAGACCCACGGCACTGAGAAGAAAAAACCGATGAAAATGAAGCTCATCTTATGAAAGAAAAACATACCCCACCGGGATTCGCGACCTGGCGCTTCCAGTCGCGGCCCGTACCGGGACCTCCCTGAGGCTCGCGAGCGGCAATATCCTTGACGTCGCAGGCCCTTCAGTCAGTTCTCTTTGACATAGTTCAACCAAGTAGACTTACCCCTCCGGTCCCAACCACACCGGCCGTGACTTGCAGAGCAAGAGTGGATGACTTCCCGTAAGGATTTAGAGCAGTGTAAATCCCTAATTTCGTAGTAAAACCGCCGTGCCGGGCATGCCGACGTCAACAAAGGGTCTGATTGTCACAAAGTCGTCACAAACCTGTCGTCGTAAATCCAAACATTTACGAAGGGGTCAACCGCCCTCTGTAAACTCCCAACCGTATCTAAATCGTGAATTTGATGGCACCTTTCCCATCTGAGACTCGGCTATGCATCCGCTACTCCATACTGGGAATTTCAACCTGACATAATACTCAACATCAGGCATCGCACATTCCCACAGCATTTTTATGCCGGTTCGGCTTCGTGTCACGCCCAGGACATTTTGCTGACAGCCGAGAGCGTTTAGAAATGGTTGAAATTTCTAAATTCCTTACGGGAAGTCATCCAGTTACAAGGACGCTGAAAAGAGCATAGCCTGGCACAAAAGGATTTTGAACGTACTAGTAGAAGGACTTATCTGTCACTCGCGATAAATGCACCGCTGGTAAACGTCAAACATCGATAACGAGTGGAGGGGCATTTATGAGGGTCCTGCGTCGTCGCGCTTTTTCCTTCACGAAGAGAAAGCAACTTCTGTCTCTCTGACCTTTGCGTCATCTTCCTTCATCGTCGACGCCTTTGATGCCACCTATTCCTCAGGAAGTCCCAACAACTCCGTTAACAAACCATTTGGCGTACGGAAAAACAAGATCCAGATGACCCGTCAATTGCGCTGCGACGGGCTACCATCATCGTCCCATCAAATTCCGCGGCCACTCCATGCCTTGAATGCCGTGGTTAAAGAGCGGGAGCGGGAGCAGGATGGAAAGAAGCGGAATCCAGGTCGGGGGAGCGCGTTGAAAGCCTTGATTGGGGTGAATAATGTCGTGTCTAATCGTCCCACTCCGACCCCTTCGTTCCACCCTCATTCGCCCTCATTCGCCGCCGAGGCATTTCACTCCTACAAGACCTCGGCGTGCACTTTGATCTCGACGTCGTTGGCATATTCAATTTTTTTTTTCCTATT